GAGTGAGCCGGGGAGCCAGACAGCCTTGCCGACCCCCCCCAAGGGACAGCAGGAAGGGGCAAGGCACCACAGAAATGGGAGACATCTGCACCTGGGCTGGGACCCTCCCACAGCACCGTGGATGGGCGACAGAGGGACAGGAACAAGGGGAAATGGAGGTGAGAGCCACCAGGAGACCAACTTAAAATAAGTCTGGGGGCTCCCCAAGCAGAAGGGGCTGTGGGCATCTCAGTCATATGTCTGTGAGAAGGGGAAGTGACACTGCTCACAAGCCTTTGAGGAAGGAGAGCTGTATGATGTCCTGGAGCTAAGCGCTTAAGAAGGTCCTAGAGCTGCAGGATCCTGGGGCACCAAGGACATAGGCTTGTGGCAAAGGACAGACCAGCTTGTGCTTACCATGGGGGAAGATTTTCAGAGAGATCTGATGAACACATGCTGCCAAGCGCTCCAGAGCGAATCAGGCAGGCTCGGACTGGTCCCTCCACAGATGCAGATACTCCAGGGAAGGGCTCGGCATGGCTCGAGTGGAAACTGCTGCTCACAGCTGGACGGTTAGGAAGGGGGAAACGAAAGCATGGAGCAAGCAGGTAGCAGTGCTCTTGGACACTCACTGGCTGAAGGTCCGTTTCTGTGCCTCCATGACGTTTCCATGGTACTGGCCATTTTCTAGTCCCTCCAGAAGAGCTCTGAGCTGCTGCCCCTGCCATGTGCATAAAGCCCACTACATCTGAGGGCTGCAGGAGACTGGTGTCATTCCTCAAGGGCACAGGCAGTAGGGTCACAAGGCACTCAGTTTGCATGTCACAGCTGTAGAGCAATGCACAGGAGCCTTACCCGACTACATTTCCTGTAGCCAGCCCATGCCAGGCAGCAGCAGGGAAGCACTCGTCAGGAGAGACCATGCCTGGTGATTTTCCTGAGCTGGTCCTGGTACAGAGATAGCTGCCAGTGAAACTTTCTCTCTTATCTTATTCTCCCACACAAGTGGCTCACATTGCCATTAAGCAGCATGGAGTCACACACAGCTTGACCACAGGTGGTTAGAATTTCATTCCATGGTGAGGCAGCAAAGATCATGGCCCTGGCCCAAGAAGCCATGAGAGGTGCTCACATCATCTCCAGTGGGCTCTGCTACAGCCTGAGGGAGCTAGAAGACAGAGCAGGAACCATGTCAGCATCCAGGCCGTTCCGATTTATCTGGCACTTGGGGAAGTCAGCTACATTCAGGCAAATGTTAGCATATTCATAGCAAAGCAGAGCTGGAAAAGAGCAAGGCAAGATGAGTTAAGATACAGCATTGTCAAGGAACAACAAGAGCAGGGCTGCTCCACGAGAGGAGACAAGCCAGAAGCTGAGGGTGCATCAGCAGGGCACAGTCCCACAGCACCTGTGCAGGACAAGGTTGGTGACAGCAACAGCTCACACCAGCAGTGATCACCGGGCAAAGGCAAGGGCACAAGCCAGGTCCAAGGTCAACCAGGGAAGTCCAGTCAACAAGCCTGGTCTGTCAGGGCTGGACACACACTTACCTGTAAAACAGTCCAAGGCAGGCCTAGGCCTACTGGGCCCAAATTTAAATGGAGCTCCCAGCCCACGGGCAGAGGGTGTGTGGGCAAAAGTCCCAGGTGAGGTTGGTCAGGGCAATTAAGGCCAGCTGTTGCACTCCGGGCTCTGGCAGCCATGTCTTCTGGTATGCCTAAAACAGAGCAGGCCAGAAACTCCCTCATTGCTGGTGGTGCTTCCTGCAAGAATAGGGTACATCCTGAGATGACATCATCGAGAAAAATTATAGGGACCAATATCATAAAGTAAATGCATGGCAGAGCAGAGAGAAAGCAGGGCAGGGGCACCTCCCAGCTGACAAAGATCAGCACATTTAGTCCAAGAGACCCTAAAGTTCAAGCGTGGGCACAACCCACCCTTTCTTCCTGGTCCAGTTCATTTGGCTTGCATCCCAAGAAGCCCTGCAGGCAGCATGAAACCCTGTGCACAAGGTGCTATAAACGTGTAGAAGCGGGGAAGGCTCAAGGTAGCTCTTACCGCCTGCCCTGCCAAGGTGTGGGGTGGCTGGGATCAGAGAGCCAGCAGATTGCAGAGCAATGCTGAGCATGGTGTCTCCTGGGAAGCCAGGGAGAGAGCGAGAGCCAGGGCCGGGGAGCAGGCACTCACCAGTCCTTCTCTTACTTTCCCAGTTGCAGGCTGACACCACCTTTCCCTGCCAGTGAGCACCAGCCAGTGCCATGGATGAGGCAACGGAGCTGCAGATGGGTGGGAACTCCCTCCTGAAGGCCGTGTGGCTCGGCCGGCTCCGGCTGACCAGGCTTCTGCTGGAAGGGGGGGCTTACATCAACGAGAGCAATGAGAAAGGGGAGACTGCCCTCATGGTGGCCTGCATCACTAAGCATGTCGACCAGCAGAGCATTAACAAAGCCAAGATGGTGAAGTACCTGCTGGACAACAGAGCTGACCCCAACATCCAGGACAAGTCTGGGAAAACAGCCCTCATGCATGCCTGCATCCAAGGCGCTGGGGGAGATGTGGTCTCCCTGCTGCTGGAGAATGGGGCAGACCCCAGCCTAGAGGACCACTCTGGAGCATCAGCTCTGGTCCACGCCATCAATGCAGATGACAAGGATGTGCTGCAGCAT